CAGTCAGCAGTGCCCCTATGCCAGCTGCTGGCCCTCATTTCAGTCCCTTCATTGCATCTCTGTCAAGCTCCTACCTCACAGGAAAACAGTAAATGATAATAAGTTTTTTGCTTAAGTGGGAAGGGCAGTTTGTGTGACAGAGGGGATAACTGATATTTTTAACTATAAGCCCACATTAACATTTTAAGTCTTAAAGAATAGAAAACGTAGTTGACCTCAATCATAGTCTATTTGGCTATTATAACCCTTTATAGGCTGGGTGGTTTAGTGACTTATAAAATAGTCTGGACACTGGGAAGTCCAGGGTCAGAGCACCAGCACATTCCATGTCTGGTGATGAACCATTTCCTGTTCATCAATATCTGTCTTTTCACTGTGTCCGTACTTGGCTGAGGGTCAAGGGAGCCTCTGCAGTTTTTTTTTATAAGAGCACTAATCCATTCATGAGGATTCTACTTTCATGACCTAATCACCTTCCAAAGATCTTACTTACTTCCTGTTACCATCACTTCTGGTCTTAGGTTTTAACATACGAATTTTCAGGGATACATTCAGTCGGTGGTAATCTCTCTACTCTTAACCCAGTTTTTGGAATTGAGATGTGGATTGCAGAGAGGGAGATGGGAAAGGGGTTGAGGTGAGCACCCAGTGAAATTACGGCCCTTTGCCACTGGCTCCCCATCAATGCTGTAAACTAGGCAGGGGAACTATTATTAGCTCCATTTTACAGGTGAAAAGCACAAATGAAAAGAGAGTAAATGACGTGCTCAAGCCAATCTATGGCAAAATCAGATGTTGTCCCAGAAGCTCAAGTCTCTTTCTCTTCTCATTCTTATCATCCTAAGCCCTGTGGTGAGAATATTGTTATTATGAGTTTTCCATCTTAAGTTTCATATCATTTCTGTAAAATAATTGTTCTGATAATGCATGGTTTGCATTTTAGGCACAAAAGGCCTGAAACTCAGTGAGGTAAGGAGTTTCAGCTTAAAACAAAGGACACTGGCCCTAACCGGTTTGGCTCAGTGGATAGAGCTCAGTCAGCCTTCGGACTGAAGGGTCCCAGGTTCAATTCTGGTCAAAGGCATGTACCTTGGTTGCAAGCACATCCCAGTAGGGAGTGTGCAGAAAGCAGCTGAATCGGTGTCTCTCTCATCAATGTTTCTAACTCTCTATCCCTATCCCTTCCTCTCAAGTAAAAAAAAAAAAAAAAAAAAAAAGGACTTTATTGCCCTTCCTACCACAGGATAGAACATGGTCCCACCCACTCCTCTCAATAGCTGTAAATGCATAATTATGAGTTCTATTACAGGAAACTTTTTTATAGAGGTTCCCAATGAAAAATCAATGGTACAATCACATGGCAATAGATGCAGTGCAAGGCAGTGTTATTGACCAGCATTAATCATTGCAGAGCCGTAAAAAGATGCTATAAGCTTACCTCCCTGGTGCGTGCTAGCTTGCTTTACAGAGAGAAGAGGTATGATTCCTGCACTCCACCCTCTGAGTCTAACCAGGGAATCCACTGAGGTCAGAAGCTGAGCTTGACACCATTGTGGCTGTCAGCTACTAAAGACAGACCCATCTTCAGCCCCCTCACCCTTCTCCTGGGCCTAAGCTACTGAGATCCCTTCAGCCCTTGGGATGGCAAGAGGCAGGCATTAATGTCCGTCAGTATCTCCCCTTAAAGGCCAGATGGAGCAGAATATGAGGCTACAGAAAGGGAGGCATATCTTGACTACAAGCAGACGTCATTTCTGTTTCTCTGTCTTGAAAACATCAGTGTCACAGTCCATGCTCAGTCTCCTGAGCTGGAGAGATGTTCTCTGGAGCAGGCTGCCTGTATTTGCTTCTGTGCTCTGTGTGGCCCCATGTATGTTATTTAAGCCTTTACGTCTCAGTTTTAACATCCATAAATTGGGAATAATAAATAACAGCACCACCACTACAAAGGGTTATTGTCAGGATTAAATGTGCTGATGAATGTGGAGCTCTTAAGAGGAGAACCTGAGAGTAAGTATAAAATCATTGTTTTCTTTTTCTGTCTACACACATCTGTTAGCCTGGAACATGGTCCAAACGACTTAGATCACTATTATAAAACAAGGCAATCACTAAAGTCACTTCCAGCTCCAGGCTTTCCTAATTCTGTGTCCAACCTAGAATACATCCCCAAGTGTGGTCTATGGACTGGAAGCTTGTTAGAAATGCAAGTTCTCAGGCTCTTCCCTGGTCTTACTATGTCCGTTTCTTTGGGTGGGCCCAGAATTCTATGACTTAATGTGCTCTCCGGATGATGTTTACATTTGGAGAAGGATGTCTCAGAATGTTCTCTTTATTGAGAAGCTTCAAGCCAGGTGCCACTTCCAGGAACCCCAATGATGGAGCTGTGGTGATCACAGTGATGGTGGCAACCAAATCTCCTCATGGTTCCCTCTGACCTGGGCACTAGTTGGAAACAGAGCATTGGCAGGAACTGTTAAGGATACTTAGAATGGTTTGAGTCCTGGCCAGGGCAATTCCAAAGATTTCGACTGGGCTATGTTTTAGCCTATTTTCATATTACTTGACCTTAGATCCAATTTCTACCTACTATCCCCTATTTTCACTCCAAATGAGTCTATAAACTACAGATTGTAGCTTTGTGATTTGGGACCTTGAAAGATGGTTTCCAGCTGCATCTTTTACATTTGAATCCAGCTAGTCTCATAAAGCAAACTCAGAGAGCTCATTCTTTGAAATAAAGATATTATTAGGAAATAAAAATGTTTCTGAAATTCAGGATATTACAATGAGTAAGCACCGAGGATGTCTGAAGAAGAGAGGGGACTGATAGATTTCAGCATGTACCTCTCACCCTCTCCCTCGCCTTGTCCCTACTCATCTACTCATCTCCAGGATGCTTCCCCCTGTAGGATTGACCAACACAAGTACAACATGCAACATTTTTTAAATGAATTTCTTTGATCCTTATTTTTTGGGGCCAACAGTGCAACAATTATTTTTTCCATCTTTTTCTTCATGCTGAAATCTTTGGGGTATTAGTTAACGCCTGACCTTCTGATGCATTATGAAGTCTTTTGAATCTGCTTCATAGAGTCGCCCTATTGTAGCAACACAATCCAGTTCATGTTCTTATCACCGTGTGGCCTGCCGGCTTCCGTGACCTCTTGGCTGTCCCCTTGATGGACCAGCCTATTCCTTCCTCTGCAGGCACTCCCACTGACACAGCAACACCCCTCAACGACTTTCTTCCCACCGTGTTGTTCATGCCTTTGGCAAAGAACCTACTTTGCCTTTATTTTGTCTGTTCTCTCTACCCAGCCTCCAGCTCTTTGCTCACGCTGCCTCCCACATTTCAAGAGACTTCTCCATATTTGTTTTTCAATTCCAGGAAATCAGTGTGGTATACTCATCACTCCACTTCTTAGCATCCTCCCCGTTCTCCCGACAATCCACTTCACCCATCGAATGTTTTTCTTTCTCCCTCTGTTTGTCCTCAACTCTCATTTCAGAACCCTTACTGAACATTCCCTCTAGGTCCCCTCTAACCTCAGGTGCTGCTACTGCTGTCCCTCCACTCTGATGTGTACGTTGCTTTGCCACGAGCCCCAGGATTTTTGTAACGTAGGTTTTCTTTGGGATCGTTGACTGCTGAAGACCAGCGGCAGCAGAGAATTTTCCATTTCCTTTGTTCATGCTTCACTCGGGGCCCAGCCCAGAGTGCAAGGCTGATAAAATGTCCAGCATAAAATGGGCGCTCATGACATATTGTTCACCGATTACAAAAAGGGTTGTGGGGTCCCCCCAGAGACACCCGGAGGGGAAGAAGCAGTTGGGATCCCCCTAAGTGAAGCATGGTTTAGGGAGCTCTAATGAAACCCAATTAGAAACCCTCTTGCTGTTTGCCTGTTTCGTGTGAATGGTAAAAGCTGGTATGTGGAAAAAAAATCAGGCAAACCGTGGCTTTTTGGACTGCGGCACGCTTCTCTTCTGCTGTGAGTGCTCGCCTGGTTTGCATTACGATTTCCTTCCTTGCTGGAAGACTGCACAGACTTTCTCTCTTTCTTTGGAAGAAGCGGGACCTGTTGGAAAGTGAGGCTCCGGGATTCAAATGCAGGGGGCTTGGCCGTGGCGCTCTGTGGTGCATTTCTTGACAAGTCCTGAAAAGACTATTGAATTCTGGCCTGTGCTTTTCTCTGCAGCGTTTGGATGGGTTTCAGCTGCAGTGTTTGGCTGGATAGAGTAATCGAAATGGATTTTTTTTTTTTTTCCCTTCCTCAGTAATCTTAGGTTACAATTTCATCTTGTACCGTGAAAACGGAGTATTTTTCTACCACGCAAGTACTTTTGAGTGCGCCGGAATCATGGCTCCCTCACAAGCAAACAACCTGTCTTTTGAAATTACATGCACACAGGTGAAAATACAAGCTGGTCGTGCTATCCTCAGAGGAACACTGGGCAGGCATTTGGAGAGTTTGCAAGAGGATACCAAGTTACATTCATCTTTTTATTTTTTTTCTTTTAATTAAATGCAGGCATTTTGGAGGGACTTTTACTTAGTGGGAAAAAAATCCTCTTTTTTTTTCATAGATTAAAGCACTATCTGTAGGCACCGCTGGATGATTACTAGCTCTGCATGTGCGCTGGGCAGGAGTGGGGGGAAGGCTGATGCTTTGTAAGCGCCTATCGTTCTCTGTGCTCTTCAAAGGGCGGCCGGCCTTTGAACCCGCTCCGTATCTCGCAGTCTAGCTTTAATTATCAGATTAGCCTGCATTTCCCCCCTTGTGATTACGGAGGAGAGTAGCTGGAAGTGTGTTTATTATTCTGCAACATACTTGACATGGTCGCATCCCAACTGTTTTAATTTGGTTCTGGAAATGAGCGCTGGTGAAATTATAGACTTCTTCAAGCCAAGGGAAGGAAATGAGTAAATCAAGGGAACAGTGTCACTGAGTGACAAGGCGAAAATGGCTAAACAACCGTGGAATTGTGCCTTTCAGGGTCCCTGCAGGTGATGAACAAAACGAGAAAGATTATGGAGCATGGGGGGGCCACGTTCACCAATGCCTTCGTGACCACACCCATGTGCTGCCCCTCCCGCTCCTCCATGCTCACCGGGAAGTACGTGCACAACCACAACGTCTACACCAACAACGAGAACTGCTCCTCACCCTCCTGGCAGGCGATGCATGAACCTCGGACGTTTGCCGTGTACCTGAACAACACCGGCTACAGAACAGGTAAAGGGGGGAACTTTCTGGCCCAGGGCCCTCGGATAAAACACCTTAGACACAGGAAAATGCAGCTCCCCATGAAATATAGGAAGATCCAGTAAGTCCCCAAATGGGAAGGCTGTTCTCTTCTGTATCATATCCTTCCCTCCCCTCACCTTTTCACTCTGAAGGATGCTCCAAGGAGAGGCCCCTTAGAGAGAAGACAGAATGATTCTCAGGGGACATGTTCTGAAAATGTTGTACTCAGCAGAGCAATTGGAATATTCCAGGAGAACTTACAGTAGATGATTTTTTTTTCCTTCCCCTTTGCCTGTTTACCTCAACCTCCCGAATCTCAGGGCATCATGGCACAGCCTGAGGCTTGTTTTAGGATGTTGGTAAATTTCTGTTGATTGTTCCTCGGGGTCTGGCACACAGTAGATGATCACAATCACTTAGTGAATTAATAAATCATTGAATGAATAAATCAATGATGTGTACTTTATTGATGCATTTATTCATTCATTCATTCATAATTTAGTAAGATTTGGAGTTTCTTTAGCTTCAGTTGCAGTCATTTTTAGGTCTCAGATGTTCCCCTTCACCTTCCGAGGAAGGAAGGTACAAGGCAATTGTACCTGCTGTCATTGTTTAACCTACAGAGGGCAAGAGGAAGGTTTGGGTTAGTTGGTCTTTTGAAAATTGGGGACCACTTTCAAGAGAGGTCATAAGCATCATGCTAGTCTTTGTAAGAAAGAAGCCCACCCCCACCCTCACCAAAGCCTTTATACCTCCACAATTCAGATGCTTTCAGCATTTCTTCATGAACGGAAATAAGAATGATTCTAGAGGGGCTACAATGCAAAAGAAATTTTTCAGAACCACCTATCATTAACGCCTATTGGAAATTATTTTACAAATTCTCTGTCCCAAATATTTAAAAGTAAAAGATTTCAGATAAATGTGTTCTGTTAAATCTCTTCAAAAAGTGAAATGAATCTTTCCCACTGATCTCAGGAAACATGTGGCCATTGGCTCCTCTGCAGAGCACCCGTGGGCACTTAATACTTTTTACTTATGGATGAAAATATTCATTGTGAATAGGACAGCATTGCCATCCACAGACATTTCAAGATTGCCGCTCACAAAGGAAGCTCCTCCCAGGAATCTCTAGGGTGTTTGCTTATGCTTCGGAAAGAAACTAGGTTACTCGGAGTGCCTTATCCTGTTTCTCACATAAGTGATTTAAATTTATAGCACCTTTCATCTGAGAGCTCTGAAGCAATTTGCAAATCCATCAAGCATCCCTGTAGGGTTTTGTTGCCAGCAAATGTACTTGGCTCTGTTTTATAACTGAAGTGGGGATTTCAGAAACTGTGTGACCAGCTCAGAAGCAAAATCAGCAATGGTCCCCTAATGCCTGGTTCCTGATTTGAACCGTCCAATTTTGTTTCGTTCCTGGAAAGCGTTGTGTGAGATCAGGGCCTCTCGTCTCCCAGGCTCCCTATAATTTTTTCTCAGCAGCGTGCATACAGCTTGGAGGGTTGGGACTCTCCCCATATCCAGAGCAATATGGACAATGTCCGTGATAAGTAGAGATGCAGGGTGAGTCAGAGCATCCTGCAGGACTGAGAGCGGCCAGCGAAGGCTTGCTAATTTGTTTCAGGGCTAACCCAGGAGAGGAAAACAAGATAAGTTCTAGAGATATGGTATACAGCAATGTGACTGTAGTAGACAACATTATACAGGTACTTGTTTCACTCATGCTCTGCTGTATCCACCCCAAAATGGGTTGCAAGAACTTGAAGGAAACTCAGAGGTAATTTAATTCAGTTCCCTTAGACCCATGGTTGGCAAACAGCTCACGAGCCACATGCGTCTCTTTGGCCTCTTGAGTGTGGCTCTTCCACAAAATACCACAGCCTGGGCGAGTCTATTTTGAAGAAGTGGTGTTAAAAGAAGTTTAAGTTTAAAAAATCTGGCTCTCAAAAGAAATGTCAATCGTTGTACTGTTGATATTTGGCTCTATTGACTAATGAATTTGCCGACCACTGCCTTAGACCCACAAGATTAAACTGACTCGCTGAAGTGACACATTCGATGCTCTAATGGGAAGACCAGGTGTCAGGACCTTGATCCCTTGGGCTCTTTCCGGTGTGCGACTCTAACTCATGGCTTCGGTCCAGGATGAAATTGCACATCTTAAGGCTTTGCCCATGACAAGTGTCTGACCTTTTGTTCAGCCCAGCAGGCCTGCTTCATTCAGGGAGAGGAGATATGTTCTTGGAAACTAAGACAGATTCTGAAGCCAACCTTCTCCCCGGGGGTCCAGACACTTAGGTAATAGTGGAATTTATAGTGAGTCATCCTACAAAATTAAAGGCAATTTTTTTTCAAGGGTAACAAGGACTTAATCCGGATACTCAGTGTGGAAAACAAATATTGATGTGTCCATTAGTAAATCAGAAATAAAGTATAAATGGAAGACCAAAATGGCAGTGATGGGATCTACAGAGTTTAAATTTATCTTTGATGGGAGCATATTGAAGTGTCTGAGACAACTGTGGACAATAATTATTGATCTAACCAGGGACAGTGACACATTTGAAAATAAACATATCAAGATGACAGGCACCTTAGGAAGTTAAGAGAACTGGTGAGTAGGCATTAAACCAGCATAATTATTCATGAGCCACTGAACTAGTCGGAAAAGAGCCAGCATATAAAGATTTTATTGTTATCTTAATAATGAATATATTATTTGGAACATTTAGCTGAGAACCGAAGAAAAATAATGAAGGAAACTGAAATATGTATTAGATATAAATATCTAGCGAGAGAAAAGCACAAAGCAGCAATTAGATTTATGAAGAACAGCTCAGAGGAGACAAATTACTAAGAGGTTTATTTTGGGAGGAATCCAGAATACATGGATTTAAATGAATCGAATTGATCCAATATTATATTTACTGTTGTATGACATGATTTTTCTTTTTCAGAACTGAGGCATATTTTTGGACTGGCTATAGCCTAAATTTTTCTAAACTTACTCATGGAAAATATGAGTCCACAACCACTTAAATGTTCGAGAAAGGGAAAATACAGTAACATGTCTATTGCATTTTATGTTCTGACAAGTGAACTGGGAATGACATTGGATTATCGATCATAAAAATGAATATCCTGCCTGACTCTATGCTCAAAAATCTTTTTAGCTTGCATTTCTTGCTAGGGTATAGACATGTGTGTGAAACCTGGCCTAGTTTTAAGGTAAAGGTGATAAGCCATGTTTCAGAGGTAGCATCAAGTGTTAGCAAAAATCCTGAACAAAGACTGAGGGCACCTGGAGTCACTTCCTAGCTCATTCAGCCTTTTCTTTGTTTTGAGAACTTGTAGAGAGGCAAGTTTTTCAACCCACAAAATGTAGAGATTGGACAAGAAGGGTTCTTAAGTTTTCTTTCCTGTTCAAAATCATGCTGTCATCTTATTATGACCACTGCAATTATTATATTGATTCATTTAAAAATTGTAGTGTCCAAATTATAATCAGAACACATGATACATGAAATCACATGAGAATTAAATTTAGTTTTAGTAATTCTACATATCACTGGAATACAAAGGGCAATATTTAACAGATCTGCAGGACAACTTTTTGTAGAATATTCTTTTGTAACAAAACAACATTCAAATTAGTCAACTTTTCTAATTTCATGTCTTTTATGTTATAAACTTTATTTATGTTACTTATGTTACTTCTCTAATATAGGTTTTGTAAAAGTAAGGCAAACTAATATTCTTCTTATGAGTACATAACATAAGACATAGCATTCGCCGAAGAGTGTTGGCCTTCGGACTGAAAGGTCCCAGGTTCAATTCCGGTCAAGGGCATGTACCTTGGTTGCAGGCACATCCCCAGTAGGGGGTGTGCAAGAGGCAACTGATCGATGATTCTCTCTCATTGATGTTTCAAACTCTCTTTCCCTCTCTCTTCCTCTCTGTAAAAAATCAATAAAATATATATATTAAAAAAAAAAAAAAACATAGCATTCCACAGTATGCTATTTATTGAGGCACCACATTCTTAGAACTTCACTAGACACTGGGATGGGAAGAGATATAAAATAAAATTGCTGTCTTCATTAGACTTACAATCTAATTGGGGAAACCAGATGGGTTAACATAGAGGAAATCATAATTTTTACTTGGCTTAAAATGATGTGTGTTACTAGTTACGACTAGTGAAATCCTGTGACCCAAATCTATCTGTTACACAGAGTAAAAAGGCTCAGTTAGTATATCATTTTTTATATTGAATAAGATTTAACTTCTCCACAGCATCAGAAATCTTTTGTGTAGTTACTATGGCTGACTTAAAATAAATACCTTTGCCCTGGCCAGTGTAACTCAATGGTTAGAGCATTGGCTTGCGTACCAAAGGGTGACAGGTTCAATTCTGGGTCAAGGACATGTACTTGGGTTGCAGGTTCAGTCCCAGCCCAGTTGGGGTTTGGGGGGAAAGCAGCCAATTGATATGTCTCTCTCACATATTTTTTTTCTCTCTCTCCCTTCTTCCTTCATATATATATATATATATATATATATATATATTTTTTTTTTTTTTTTTTTATTGATTTCAGAGAGGGAGAAGAGAAAGAGATATAGAAACATCCATGATGAGAGACAATCATGGATCAGCTGCCTCCTGCACACCCCCAACTGTGGGGATGGAGTTCACAACTAAGACATGTGCCCTTGATCAGGAATCGAACCCAGGACCCTTCAGTCCCCAGGCCAACACTCTTATCCACTGAGCCAAACCAGCTGGGGCCTCCTTTCCTTTTACTCTCTCTAAAAAGCAATAGCAAAAAATATCTTTGGGTGAGGATTAACAATAACAACAATAGTAATAATAATAAAATAAAATACCTTTGCTCCAAATAGCTCAAGGAAACTTTCCTATGTATTATGGCACAAATAGTCCTGGACAGAGTAGCGTGGCCTAAAGTCAAAGGTAATTATAACCA